CAAAATCAAATGGCTTAATTTATCGTATTGTTCTATGTTGTGTACTAGTAAGTTTGTTGTACAATACATCATTTATTTTTTCTTTTTGCCACATAAAAATAATTCATGTCTTCGACGTTATATTTTTGGTGGTTTTACACCTACTTTTGTTATGTGCAAGCCTTGCATTTATGCTTTTACATAGTTGTTTTAAATTGGTTGTAATGTCTTCTTATTTTATATATATATATATATATATATATATATATATATATATATATATATATATATATATATATATATATATATATATATATATATATATATATATATATATATATATATATATATATATATATAATTTGTGACTAAAGAATATTTTTTATTGATACAAATTAAATTCATTTCTTATATGATATATTATTGATATTTGCGTTTTTAGAAGAACATTAGTTTTATATTTTAGTATATTGAATTACTTAAAAATATATAAAAAAAACATGAAAGGTATAAGAAAATGTCACATATTTTTTTTATAAAAAAGCATAGCTATAATAGAGCTTTTCAAGAAAATGCTATTATAACATAGCTAGCATGCTATATTAGCGCTTTAAAAAAATGCTATTAAAAAAGAGACTTTAATAACGCATTATAAGCGCTATTATAAATGACAAACTAATAATAGTAGTGCATTTAATAGCGCTTACAAGCATTATTAAAGCATAAGAAAAACGCTATTAAATTACCTTTTTGGCATAGTGAATATATTATTAAACTTGTTAATATGATATAATTCACCCGACAAAATAATTTAGGTCATATTCAACCCATTCTACTTTAAATTTGAAGAAATTGTAGTGGTATATTTTCTTTTTTGTTGAGTAGAAAATAGTGACATATATAATTGCAATAAAATGACTACTACAATAAAATAAAAAAATTGAAATTTATAACAGACTAATTAAAGAGTCAAATAAAATAAATACAAGAAATAAAATTGAACTTATATGACTTTTAGGTTCATGATCAACAGTTGCAACAAGTCAGCAAGGGTAAGATGCCTGAATCTTCCAAGGTGCCCAACAAAAAAAAGGTCGAGCCAAAAAAAGCATATGTTCCTCGATTTAGGTTGTGCCTTGAAACATATGTAGGAACAACAGATGTGACTGAGGGTGGCATCCGTCAAATACCTATGGAGGAAGGTATTTTCGGTTTTGAATATACCGAAACAATTGCTAAGGAGGATTTGGACCAGATTTTTCAACATTCTGAATTGGGCGTCGGTGTTATGCATTCCTACATCAGGTACTCCGATCCATTTTAATTAAATAATTGAACATTTTAAAATTTTCTCATTTAACTGAATATTCTAATGTTGATTATGTTTTTCTTTTAGGTTCTTGTATGACAAGTTGTTGGTCCCACATGATTTGACTTCAATATTCACATTCTTATCTGCTAGCTGTATCAACTCACAGTCAATAGATCACACACCAGATGTAGTCAAAGATTACATAGTCCAAAGATTTATGGCCGCGACTACATAGAAGTTGTTCTTGTTGCCATATAATACTGGCCATGGGTATGACTTCATTCTAAATTCATTTATTATAATTATTCGATTTTTGCCATTCTATATAACATTTCCGTCTAAACTGTTGTCTTATTTTATAGTGGACACTGGTTGTTGGTCGCGATTAATCCGATGAAAGAAATAATGTATTATCTGGATTCATTGGATGACGATCAAACAAAATATCCTGATATGAAGAATATGATTGATACGTAAGTGATGAGATATACTGTTCTGAATAATTATATATCTTTATTTATTATGTGACATTGTTCTAAATATGCGTTTATATTATGTTAGAGCTATACAAATATTCATAGCACAAAGACAAGCAACAGTGCCAAAAAGTAAGGCTAACAACATTAGCTGGATTAGAGTGCAGGTATATTTTCTCATTTTTGACTGTTATAGTGGTCCTACTTGATTAAACTATTTAAACTATATATCCTGATAAATGTTCGTTTGTTTTTTCCATTTACAGTGTCCTCGTCAGCGCAATAGGATTGACTGCAGATATTTTGTATTCCGCTTTATGAAGGAAATTATTCATTCTGGTCAAATAGAGATTCCAATCATGGTATGGATCAATTCATAAATTATATGATTCGTTTTGATAATTAACCGATATTTCATCTGAGTAATTAGTTTTAAAACTAAATTGTGCATGTTCTGTTATATTATGTAGTACTTTGATGAATTCAAGTGCGATACTTACTCGAAAGCAGGATTGGAAGAAATAAAGGAGGAATTGTGTCAATTTATTCATGAGTTGAGAATTGTATAAGGTATATGTATCATCCAATATTGATGCGGGATAATAATATTTCTGGAAGTCGTATCTATTTGTAAAGTTAACGGATTTGTAATTATATGTAAATTGACTGTATTTGTGATGTTGTAATTCTGAGGATCAGATTGTGTTGTAATATATTTAAGCAGGTTTATGTGTATTAAAATGATTATGGGCAAAGTGATGAATTACAATGTATACTTAAAGGCCAAAGTGTTGAAATAAAGGTCTGAATTATAAGCAGGGAATGTAATTGTTATAAGCAGGTTTATAGAAAAATATATAAAAAATGTGATTATTTAAATTTTTTTTTTTTTTAAAATCGTGAAGATTAGACAGCGCTTTTACAAAAAAGCGTTACTAAAGGGGACATAAAGAGCGTTAAAAAAGCGCTGCTATAGGTGGGGAAAGGGGGGTCTAAGAAAGCGCTTTATAAAAGCGCTGCTAAAAGGGGGGGGGGGGGGGTGTCTAAGAAAGCGCTTTAAAAAAGCGCTGCTAAAGGGGGGGGGGGGGGTCTAAGAAAGCGTTGCTAAAGGGGGGAGGGGAGGGGGGAATAGACAGCGCTTTTAAAAGCGTTGCTAAATGAGTAAATAAGCGCTGCTAAATGTGCTGGTAAAGGGAGCCTATAGCAGCGCTTTTTCCATAAAAAAAGCGTTGCCTTTACCTTTAGCAGCGCCACTTTAGGCAGCGTTTTTAATCGCTGCTAAAGGCAGAAAAAAAAAAACGCTGCTAAATGTCTTTTTTGGCATAGTGTGAGGAAGCTCAGTGTTTAGATGTTGGAATGCAGTTCATATGAAGAACCATTGTTGAGTTAGTACCACATGCATATAGAGTCGAGGTGTTGTCACATTGCATACAACTTGACATTTTTGAATTGACGATTGTTGTGTGAATACATTACTTGTTGTTGATGATAGTTGTTGTTGTTGTTGATGTTTAGGCCACCCTTCCCGATCTTTTGCACCGCCAACATATTTGAGCTTACTCTCACCCATTTTTGTGTGTGTTGATGTACGATGTGTACAGATACTCAGGACACAAGAGTAATAGCTTCTTTAAGTTGGAAGATAGCCTTGGAGCTCATCTTTATTTATTTTATCGTTTATTATTTTTAATTGATTAAATGCTCTAGTCTGTAACATCGAGAAAATGACGTTTTTACTATGTTTTGAGTTAATATTGAATTATGTGGTTCAGAGTCTAATACTTTATTTACGAAAGTTAATTTTGAAGTTGTCGTGATATGATTTTTTCGCTGCTTAGATAGTTGTCACAATGACACCTTGAATTGTTAATTAAATATTTTTATATAAGTTTTGAGGTTTAAGGTGTTACAATACATGTCAAACTTTATTGTTTTCGCTATTTAATTCACATGATTATATATATATATATATATATATATATATATATATATATATATATATATATATATATATATATATATATATATATATATATATATATATATATATATATATATATATATATATATGTTTGGTGAAATATGTGTGACGCTCTAAGTATTGTGTTAAAATTGAATTATCTTGTTAAATATGGAATCGGTGAATTATGGTGTTATAATGCACCTCTCTCCTAAGCTTCTCAGATTAACTTCCAGAAATTTTCCTTTTCTCAATAACGTAGTCGGGTTATTTTTTATTTTCTTGCAAAGACTTCTCATTTGCTATGTCATGACAAGCCTTGGGTGATTATCTTGGACAGCCCGTAAGGCGCGGTAAAGAAAAGGCCTAATTGCCATTTTGAATTCATTTATATATATGATTTTTACCTATAACTTTTCCTATCCCCTTTTTGATTTTATATCTGATTTAGTAGTTAGAGCATTAACACTGCATATTTATCGCATGAGATATCTGCACCATGTAGTCAAAAGTCCTTCTCAAACAATCCTTCAATAATTCTGGTTGCAAAACGGAACATATTTGATACTATCCTTAATTTGCACCATGGTGTTAAAAGTCTCTTTCAAACAATTCTTCAATAATTTTGGTTGTAGAACAGAACATATTTAATACTATCCTTAATTTGGGTTAGTTGAATCTTCTCTAGTGTGGCTGTTTTCTCTTGACAAGTCCTTCAAAAGAAGATCCCTACTATGAGATAACATGTTTAAGTATCACGTTTTACTCGAGGTAATAGGTGCTTATGGTATTTCCTATGGTTTATGCAGTGCATTCTTAAATCAATCTGTGACTTATTTATTATTTGTGAGGTAATGGCAAGGTTGTGGTAATTGATTTGTTGGTGGTAAAAATTTACGTGTGATGAAATATATAAGGCGAATTCTCTGGTATCTATGATAAGCTAGAATTAATTCAAAAGTTTAATTTTTTTAAAACTTAAATTACTATAAATAAGTTATTAAGCTGGCGTGAGTCAAATAACTGAATGTTGATTACTACTATATCAAACAAAACCTTACTGCATAAGTAGGTTGCTTGGGATATATAGATTTAAAAAATGGAAATCATGATTATGATAAAGTATCTACAACTTCAATGAAGCTAATGTAAAAAAATAACCAATCCTCGTCAATTATAAAAGAAATCACCAAAGTGATACGAATAAAAAAATTGTATGGTATCTAAACTTTTTTATATAAAAAAAAAAAAACAGAAGTGCCATTATATCAGATCAAACTGCAGCTACAGTTGGTTTAGGGACATCATCTTCAGCTTCTTTTTTATTTTCACCCTTGCACCAGAAAAAAGCATATAGCAAAAGCTGAACAAGTCCAGAAATTACTCCAATACCATTGCTGATCTGCAATAATTAAAACAAAGACATGTTAACTAACAATGAGTTGATTAAAGAATCTTTCATCTTCTTAAACTATAATTATTAACTCAAATGACTATTCAATTAATTACAAGAACATAAATGTCAAGAGGGTGAATGAGAGCGTATGTAGTCCAGCACAATCCATTAAGAAAGTTAGCCAAAGAGAGCCAAAATGGCATGTATTCAACACTCTTAGTTTTGATAACCTTTGCCTGTTCATAACAAAATATTAAAATTAGTTAGGATTGAAATCTATACTTTGCATTTAAGAGTTCAATTTATATATATTGACAATGGGATAGAAGTTACTTACCATAACAGTAAGAGGAGAAACATACATCAATATATTGAAGATATCACAAACAATACCAACCACCAAGGATCTTTTGGTAGTGCCATGTAATGCTAACATTGTTATAAGAACAATGGCAGCAAAGAAAATAGCCTCAATGACAAGATAAAGAAGCAACTTCTTCTGAAATTACGAAAAAATAATAATGAGTATCATAATAGGAATGGTTATAACTTATATTAAGAAGAAGCTTAGCAATTCTTAAATATTCAAATACTCAACAAATATTTATGAACCAGTCAATGGCATAATATACTCACCCTTCCTTTGTTGTTGGAATAGACATAAAATATGGTGAGATAGACGAACTCGAAAACAAGCCCAACACCGTTGATGGTAACAACCAAAAGACTATTTGGGTGCACAAAAGGTAATCCATAGAATACCCAAAACGCACAATTCAAGACAGTTGCTATGTATGGATCAGGCTTGAACTCCTCCACATCTTTCTTCTTTATGATTTTATAGAAAGTCGGACTGCACAATTAATTTCAATAGTTAATATCTCTTAAGAATTAATCAATAATCAACACATTATCACTTTTAAAATTAAAATTTCCAATGCCAAAATATATAAAAAATAAAAATAAAATCTAAAAGCTGCGACACAAATTTAAAAGAATAATTTAATTTTAATTAATAGACATTATGTATCTTTCATATTTTTCATGTAGATACACAACAATTTAATAAATTAAAAAAATGCATATGGAAAAAATTTGAGTTTAGCAGAATACATGATAAATAATTTAAAATTTTCAATCTAATGATAATATAAAGCTAATTTAGACTCTTAGAGAATCATTCATTTTCTCAAAACCTTTTAGAAGTGAATATAATTTTATAGTAAAATTAGAATGATTCATTAAAAATAAGCTAGATTTTTTTTATTTGCATGATCATAGTTTAAACAGTGTAATTGAGAACAGTGATTAGTATCACTGTACACTATACAATGCAAAATCAATCACGATTTTCACGCATAATCTAGAACAGAGTAAACAGAGAAAGTGAGTCTACGCTGGCGAGAAGAACAATACGAAGGAGATAACATTCCCTGCATTCAAAACAAACATTCATCAGAATCGATTATTAGAAAAAGTTTATATTATTCTTCATGCATGAATCGTTTTTAGCTTAACTAGCTGAAACTGATCTAATTTAACGCTACGATGCAAATCTAAAACCTAACAGAAAAATCAAACTCCATTCAATACAAGAAGATTAAGTAATTAATAAACCTATAATTTCCATAACAGAACATTGATTAAAATTAATTTTCATGCATGATGAAAATTAATCAACAGAAAAAGTAACTATTCTTCATGCATGATGATTTAATCAGCAGAAAAACACAAAATCAACTGAAACTGAACCAAAAAATTTCTATAACCGAAATTAAACACAAAAATTGCATTAATCAAATTCATATATGATTTCTGAAATTGAAAAAGTAAAGAAAAAGAAAAAAGTGATTAACAAACCTATAATGCCAACAATGTTACGAGCTACTGAAGCGTTCACCATTTTTATGCACAAATAGTGAAAAACAGAAAACACGAGAAAAGAGAGAGAAAGAATGAGAAGAAGAACGAAAAGCGTGAGTGTGAAGAAGAACGAAAAGCGTGAGTGTGAAGAAGAATGAGAAAAGTGACGCTTATATAGGAATTTTTTTTTCTTTGGGCATTCTAATTTTAATATTGATTTTTAAATTAAATGATAGAATTTTTTTTTTTATAATAATCATATATTAAACATTATTTACTATTATAAACAATATTTTAAAAAATTAATCAAAGTAGTCAACTTTTCAACATCCGGTCGCCATCTCAGATGGCGAATGAGACCAAAAGGAAAAATAGCAAAACCAATTCGCCATGTTAATTGGCGAATGAAGTCAATTCTTAATGCCTTCGCCATGTTGATTGGTGAATGAGGCCAATCCTTAGGATTTCGTTTTTAATTTTTGTTTCATTTATATTATTATCAGTTTTTAATAAAATTAAATAATTAATTATTAATGTTTTATTCTATTTTTTAAATATCTTATTTTTAATTAATTTCAATTAATAAATACTTTATTTTTAATTATTAATGTAAAATGAATTCTTAAGAAATATATGTTATTAAACTATGTTGTTTGGTTTTCATAATTAATTAAAATTTAAACAACATTAAGAAAAAATTAAATATAGAAATGTTAAAATAAAATATAGAAATAATAAATTATATTAATTTAGAATCTAATGAAAAGTACAATTACAATTAAACAAAAGAAAAAATCTAATGACCGACTCTATCCAAGTGACCACCGGTGCCACATTGTGGGGGACGCGCGTTACGACGAGGTCGACGAGGTTGCTTTGGTGTGTCCGGTCTCTGTGTGTTGAGTTGTGGAGGAGGGTATGGTTGGGACGGCCCCGGCGTATCAGATAGAGTTTGCATCATTTGACCCAATAGTCGGGAGGTCCACTGTCAACTGCGCTTCCGTAGTCAAGCCTGATGCCCATGTTTTCGAAGGATTGTCGGGGAGGTTGGGTGGAGTATGGACGGTATGGTTGTCCGAATGTGTACATGGAATTGGGTTGGTCTAGGTGTCTTGGTTGTTGCGGGGTGTGGTATTCGAATAATGGATAATTTGGGGGATCGTTGGAGGGGTAATTGGAGGGGTAGTTGGAGGGGTAATTGGAGGTGTAGTTGGAGGTGTAGTTGGAGGGGGTCGGGTCAAATGAGTTGTCTGGGCTATAGGTGGAAGGGGTAGGCTCAAAAGAGGTATCAGGGTTGTAATGGTAAGGTGGTTGAGGCTGGGATTGGGTGGGTGGCATGTAAGGTTGTCGTTGTTGATAAGGGGTATTTGTTGGCATGTATGGGTTTTCGTAAGGCTGGTTTTGGGAACTGAACTGTTGTTGTGGGTTTGACGAAGAACCGCGTTCCCTTGGGTCGGCCAGATAGGTTGGCTGGGACAGGAAAGGCTGAGATGTCGTGAAAGACCTAAACCAAGTCATATATTGAAGACTTGGCATAGCTCCGTGCACAATACGGTCGGTTAAGACGTATTTCCTTCTTCTTTTCCAGTGTATACGCATCTCCTTCGCAAACTCCTTCCAATCACTGACACTCCACTGTGCGTCTACCCGCTTTTGATGCCACTGCCCCAAGTCTACTGGAGCATCTGAAATATCATGATGCATCCCAACTTGTAGTTTCACCCGGTCACTTTGGTGCATCTCCACCGTAGTGAACCTAATTATGGGTGTCTTTGCTATCCACACAGCGGCATCGTCGGGGTTGGGATCATGGTCGAGACCCTCGTACGGCATCCAGACAAACTACAATAAAGTTGGACAATTAAGTTAGACAGAGTTTGAGAGGTTTATGCATATACATTAAAAAAAATTAATGGTAGATAACTTACATCATCTGGCCCAAGGTGGTCGATTAGGTTGCGGTATTGAATTATAGAGTGCCTTGGACATCTCTGATAATTCATCCCTGGAACAGACCACCTAAAAAAATAAACACATCTCAGAAATTATTAACTGAAAAAGAATATGTAGTTGCTAAATAATCTTGAAAAGATACTTACTTGTTGGCGTACGGGAACGTAAAAGAATTCTTGTTTATTGGAGCAAGCATTGGCATCCTAGACCAACCCCACGCTTGCAGAAGATAAGCACAACCATAAAAAGTACAGGAATTTTTTTTTGAAGTTTTACAAAGTGCGCTATATAGATGGGCGAGGACAACTGATCCTCAGCTATATTCGCACACTTTGTTAATATTCCGCAATAATGGTAAATACATAGTATGGACGGTATTTCCAGTGCCATCTGGAAATAAAAAGTGTCAGAGCAAAATCATAATATAGCATCGAGTTTTGAGTATTTTATCATACTCGGTGCTATCATCAGTTAAGACAATACAGTTGTATTGTTCTCTAAGGTATTTTAAATTAATTCTCTGACCCCTCGGGCGGCCCTCGCTTTCCGCCTGAGGTCCGTCCGTACAAAAAGGGGCGCCCAATAAATCTTCGCAAAGTTGGTCAGGGACACCAACTTTGCCGTTGACGGCCTTACCATCGATGTGTAGGCCGAGCAACATGTAAACGTCCTGAAGAGTCACAGTACACTCACCAAAAGGTAGGTAAAATGTATGTGTCTCCGGTCTCCAGCGTTCTAACAACGCTAGAATAAATTTCATGTCGAGGGAGTAAGATTTGATTTCGATCAAATCACCAAATCCACAATGAGTAAGGTAGTCCGTAATGAGCGGGTCGTGTGGTATGTAGTCATGCACACGACATCGAAACCTTGATACATCCTGCTGAATAATGAATGTTACGTTAGAGGAGAAGTAAACTCACCAAACGTTTTTTTAGACAAAATTATAAACATAGACTAGAACAAAAGACTTACAAACTCTGTGATGTTTTCAGCCGTCCCTCTGTGAGAGTCACCCATGGTGAGTAGAGACATTGTCGTGTGGGATGTTGAGATTTAGAGATGTTGTGTTTGAGATTTGAGAGTTTGAGAGTTGAGAGTTTGAGAGTTTGAGAGTTTGAGAGTTTGAGAGTTTGAGAGTTTGAGAGTGAGAGTTAGAGAGGTTGAGAGTTTGAGAGTTTGAGATTTAAGTGTGAGTAGAATTTGATGGATAAAGACCCTATATTTATATTCCACGAGTGGATATGTTGTAAATGCATGCTTCACAAGTGGCTTGAAGCATGTGTTGTGTAAATGCATGTTGGACTAGTGTCGTTTCCCATGTGTTGTGTAAATGCATGTTGGACTAGTGTCATGATGCATGTTGGATGCAGAGTCTTTTTTATGCAGTGTCTCGTCTAATCAAGCATGGTGGATGCAGTGTCCCGTCTTATCAAGTCCTGATGAATGCAGAAAGAGAGTCTCGTAGGCCTGCATGGTCAATGTAGGCATGCAGGATCACATGTGAAAAGGAGATTCCTTCATTGTCTCGTCTATTCAAATAGGCTGCATGTAATTGATTGCATATCAAGTCTTTGTGTTTCACATGTTTCCTTCGTTGATTTTTTAGGTTGATTTATTTTATTAAACGTAGTGTGATTTTTTAGGTTGATTTATTTTATGGATGATAGGTTCTGATGGTTATAGACACATGCATGACTAGTGAAAGGTAGAGATTCCTGATGCGGTATCACATGTGAAATGCATAACTTTGCATTGTCACGTCTTATCAAGTGTCATGTTCAAGTCCTGATGCATGTCATTGATTGTGGAGTATGCGTGACTAGTGAAAGGCAGAGATTCCTGATGCGGTATCACATGTGAAATACAGAACTTTGCATTATCACGTCTTATCAAGTGTCATGTTCAAGTCCTGATGCATGTCATTGATTGTGGAGCATGCGTGACAAGTGTCCTGGTGCATGCAAAAAGTGTCCTGTTCAGCCCATTTTATAAAGCATTTAAACTCTTTAAACTCAAACAATCAAACACATTAAACACTCAGACCCTCAAACACGCAAACACTCAAACACTCAGACACTCAAACACTCAAACACTCAAACACCACAATTTTCGCTATGTCTCAAACACCACAATATATGATTTCCGCTCATCTGAACGATGAAGTTTTCGAATATGAAGTGTCGGGGTACAATTTCAGAAACACAGATGTTACAAGATTTTTAATTGGCAGAAGGTCTAATTTTTTACACCTGAAGTCAAGAATAAAAAAAAACTGCAATGTGGTCCAGTTGGGCAAATAATATACAAAAACCCAGTATTTTTTGGTGGACCTGATTCATGCAAAATTGTCCCTTTAAAGGTGCGAGACGACGAAGACGTGCGTAACATGTTCCGCAGTCACGAGTATTCTGGGTTCTCAGATATCGTGTTATATGTTACGTTACAACAACAACAACTGTCTCAACAACTTGATTCGTCTCAAGTTTTTTGCGATGAGGAAGATGAACACCCTAAGTCAATGTCGTTGACAAAGAAGAAGAAACAACTGAAGTCACTGTTGACGAGATGGTGAACAATCCGGAGGACGAAGTTCAACCTGACAATGTCTGTTGTCCACCTTAACACATGACTACTATCTCCTTATGTGATGATGAACCCTCGACCGATGTTTTCTACAACCCCAACTACACACCAGAGGGGCAAATAAAAAAGGGTGACGAGTTTCGTACGAAAGAAGATTGTGTTCGGGCTATCAAACAGTTTCACATGGAGTTGTCAGCCGACTACAGAGTCGATCGGACAAATCCGACGCGGTATACGATCTATTGTCGTAACGAGGAGTGCCCGTTCCGATTAACAACATCTTTCAGGAAGAGAAGCGATTCCTGGAAGATAGGGTCATTGAGTCCGTCCCACAGTTGTATAATCTCGAATCCGATGCAAGACCATCGCAAACTCAGCTCTAAATTGATTTGCGATGAGATTCTGTCAGTTGTTAGTGACAACCTGTCTTTGAAGGTGAGTACCATAATTGCACATATGGTACAAAGGTACAACTACACTCCTTCGTACCGAAAAGCTTGG